TTTTTGAGAGTGACATCTGTCAGTTTCTTACTGCACAGTGTTTTGCAGTGTTGTCTGAAACAAAGATTAGTGAGAACTTTAGCAGAAATACATTGCAGGAGGGCCCAGCTCTCAGTTCCACTTTTTGCTCTTCTGGAATTCAAAAGGATTTTGCTTGGAGTCAAATCTGATCATGATTCTCTGGAGTTTTGGGATAGGATCTTAACACTTGGAAGTAAGGAGTCAGATAATTTCATTATACTGTGAAGCAAAATTTAATTTTAAAATGTCAAAAATAGACATGAAGTGAAATTGCTACTTAGAGTTAATGCTACTTTAAGCATCTGTTGCTGGTTACTTCTAGAAATATGTTTCTGGGTTAAGTGGTTCATTGATCAGATCAGTCATGGCAGATTGTATATTCCTGTCAAAAAACCTGATTGTTGTTCCAGAGGAATTAATTTTATTCATTGGAAGGGTATTAAAAAAATTATATATAAAGGTTGAAATGAGGGAGCTAGTTCTTGACTTTGGGGGCGGTTTGGTGTCTTGCCTAATAAGCTTTTAACAGTGGCATGGTTAAATTGGGAAATAGGCCAAGAACAAAGGGAAGAGAATGTAACATCCCTAGTTGTAGGGCTGGTGGTTTGTAGTGCACTGGGACTGACAGGTCCTGGCAACACAGCTGTTACATCCATTAATTAAAGTGCTGTTAGATTAAAAGTGGCTTTCATGCGCTGTTTGATTTCCTTCCAATCCATAATTCTGCAAACAGGTGTAACATTTTCAGTGTGATGTCTTCCCTGCTACTTTCTGCTTCTTAGTGAAGGACGATTTTCAACTACTGTGTGTTGTAAAGCAACAAATTGTAGAATTTCAATTTAACTGAGGAGATCTTGGTGCCTTATCATTTTAGCTGATAAAAATGTGTCAGAAAATTATCTGTCTTGTATTAGGTGTGTAGTAACATAATAATAATGCTGCCTAGGAGATGTAAAGCTTGTGCCCGTTCTCTTTCTCTCTCTCTCACTCTCATATTTGTTAGGATTAGTATTAAATTCCCCCAGTTGTACTTAATAATGCTTGTGATTCTTTTGTGCTTTGTGCCTGAAAATTCATCATAACTGGAGTTAATCTCCAGCTTTGATTTGGATTTTTACAGTAATCACATTTTAAGCATGCACTGGCCCTGTTTGAAGGGTCCTTAAAAAGTTGGGGTTTTACCACAGATCTGGATTTTAAAGTTGAAAACAAATTATTGAAAGCTGTTGAAATAGCAGTCTGTCTAATCAGTTCTTCTTTTCCTCAGCCTTATCTGCCCACAAAGGAGAGGACACGTCCTAATTCAGTCACACTACTGGCTGAAAGCCTGAAACAGATCCCCAAGCCGAGCCTTGAGCTTCTACTCTTCTGTTGCTTGGGGATTGCCTCTATGCCTTCTGTTTCTATTTTGGTTCAGGCAGAATTTGAAAGGAAGGTGTCCCGAGGAGAAGTGATATGTGTATTGCCTAAACTGGGACAAGGGAGGCCAAGTCACTGGCTTGGTAGATCTGTGCTGCCACTGGCAATTTGCTTACCCTCTTGTGCCTCGGTTTCCACATTTGTGAAGTTGGCCTAATATCCTGCTTTGCAAACATAAATGAAATGACATGCCTCTTCCTCACAGCTCTTGAAAGTTTTCTGGCAAGGCATCTATCTGTGTACAATGGTGACAATAATTCCTTTGGTTAAGCCTTTTGGGTATTGCAGTTGTGGGCAATATCCCTGGAGCAACAAGGTATTCTGTTGCTCTGATGCATGGGAGCGAACTCAGGAATACAATGTTGAGGAAAACCTTGATAGGTTTATCACAATTAATAATTAAAGGAACCTTGCGTTAAAGACCTTTATGCAAAATACCTTCCTCCTTTGTTTTCTACCATTAAAGGAGCCTGTCTTCGCTCTGCAGAGAAGAAAGATCTTAATGACTTGAGTAGAGAAGTGATGCAGAAAGCTGAGTATTTGAGTCCCCCTTCATTTCTCTCAAACATTGATTTTGCTTATGGCTCATAAAACTGCTGAGGACAAAAGTTCTGTAGAGAGCAGATCCATAGTACCTTAGGACCCTGATACCTGATTTGTTTTAATTAGGTGTTTGCTGGCTGTGAAAGCTATGCGAGTGTCCTGGGTTCAGCTATAGCGGTCAATTTTTCTTCTTCTTAGTAGCTGGTGCAGTGCTGTGGTTTTGACTTTCAGTCTGGGAACAACGCTGATAACACCGATGTTTTTAGTTGTTGCTCAGTAATGTTTACTCTGACCAAGGACTTTCTCAGTCTCATGCTCTGCCAGGGAGGAGGGGAAGCCAGGAGGAAGCAGAGACAGGGCACCTGACCCAAACTGGCCAAAGGGGTATTCCATACCACAGCACATCATGCCCAGTATAGAAACTGGGGGAAGTTACCCGGAAGGCCCAGATCGCTGCTCGGGTCGGGCTGGGTATCGGTCGGTGGGTGGTGAGCGGTTGTGTCCTCTCCCATTGTTACTCCTCTTATCATTATTATTGGTAGCAGCAGTGGTTTGTATTATACCTTAGTTACTGGAGTGCTGTTATCTCAACCCGTGGGAGTTCCATTCCTCCGATTCTCCTCCCCATCCCTCCGGGAGCGGGGGGAGGAATGAAGAGGGGGGGAATGAGCGAGCGGCTACGTGGTTCCAAGTTGCCGGCTGGGCTTGAACCATGACGGCGAGTGGCCCATTCAATTCAAGTGTAAAATGGAGATTTGTTGGGCAGAACAGCTTTCTTATATCTTTCTCATAGTCTTGTCCCTGCAAGCAGCAATTGCCATTTGTCTGCCAGTGCCCTTTCTTCATCTTTGTTGGTTTCTGGTGAAGCAGTGGCTGTTGACTGGATTATTTGCTCCGAAGATCAAGAATAAGGAAATGTTTATGCTCTGTCACAGATATTTATTCATTTATTTGTTTCCTGAATGATCCCCAGCCAGTCACTTAATCTTCTTATAAACTGGCTGTTCATCTCTGAAGTCAAGACTGTAGGCTCACTGGTAGGCTCACTGCCTCACTGGAATCTGTGTGGAAGTGTCTGAGCTGCTCAGCATTTCAGCAGTGAGGACAAAAAGAAACTAGAGGTCTGATTTATCTTTCTGATGTGGTCTTGTATTTCCTGGGCAAACCTGTCCAAGTTCCTTTGTTTTGTTGCTGCCAATATTTTTTTTCACCTTGAAAAAAAGAGGAATTTTGTTCCCCAGTTTCACAGGAGTGTTACAAGGAAACTTTTATCAGGGCTAGTGGGCCGTGGTGTAACAGCATAGTGGGACAGGAACTGTACCTGCCATGAAGCAAGAGCTGCATGGCCAGAGTGTGTACCAAAATACTTGTTTTTCCTTAGCAGTTTGAAGATTTTGGAAGAAATATGCACTGGTTTATATGGGTACGGTTTTTCTACATAAACCTTAATGTGAAAATACAGAGGGGGATACTTCAGGGACAGGTTTTTTCATTTTCATTAGTAAATACAATTTTTGAAAGCCCTCCAGCTACCCGTCTCATTTACTCAGAGCTTCCACTGACCTTTTAATGTGGTAGGAAACTCACCAATCCTATGACGCAGGTGTTAGGATACTGTACAATTCGGGTCTTGAGCATGCTAGAACCTAGATACTAGCTTTGGTTTTATTCTTATCTGCTAAATTTGTGCAGCGCTAAAAAATCCTGCAATTTAAAGACTAGTTAATAAAAGGATTTAATGACCAGGAGTCATATCGTGCTATGATCAGAGTGATGAAGCACCTCTCCTATGAGAAATAGCTGAGAGAGTTAAGGTTGGTTCATCCTGGAGAAGACTCTGGGAAGACCTCAACTGCAGCCTTACAGGCCTATAAGAAAGACAGGGAGAGACTTTTTAGCAGGGCCTATTGCGGTAGGATGAGGGGAATGGTTTTAAACTAAAAGAGGGGACATTAAGCCTGAACATGATTTAAAAAGTGTTTATGATGTGGGTGGTAAAACAGTGGTGGAACAGACTGCCCAGGAGGTGGAAGATGTGCCATCCCTGGAGACAAGTCCAGGCTGGATGTGGTTCTGGCAACCTGATCTAGTTGTTCCTGCTCCTAGCAGGGGGATTGGACTAGATGACCTTTGAAGGTCCCTTCCAACCCAAGCTATGGTCATTCATTATAGGGTACTCTTCAATGGTTAATTCTGTTTTGAATAAATGTCCAGGAATTTCTCATGACAGGCATTTACATTCTATAAATATGGTGATTCTATGAAATTCACTCACTCAGTGTGCTGTGCTTGGCTGACATAATCTTCAAAATGGCCTGATCTTGTAAGCACAGGCAAATCTAAAATACGCATTCAGTGGAAAATCAATGGTTCTTGTTCTCTGACATTTAGTGGGTTTTTTTTATAATGTCATTCAGTCTTTGATGATGCATTCTGGAGAGAATAAAGCAAGCAGCACAACCAGTACTAGCGTATTTGTGAGTTATGACCTTAGAAGCACTAGCTTATTTTGCACTAAAGTGTTTTCCCCATAGAACACATGAACTCTTGTGCTGGTTTATTGACAATGTTTATTATCATCCTACATTGTTTCTAGATTAAAGGAGGACCCCCACTCTGGTGAACACTGTATTAAAAAAAAAAAAAAAAAAGGCAAAATAGGCAGCCCTTGCCCTGAATTGATTACTCTGTAAGCATCAGTATCGCCAGTGGAACTTCATTAAAAATAGAAATCTTGATCTTGCAGTAACTGAGTGCTTTGCAATTGTTCTGAGAAAAGCAAAGACTTCACTAATTACCTTTTTTCAGGTAGAGATTCTTTTCAGCTGCATGGAACTTAGTTGTTGAAACCATGAACGTGTCACTACATAGAACATAGAGTGTATGAACTGATGAACTGCGATCTGCTTCCTCTAACGCCATTACACGCTTTTGAAAGTGTTATGTTGGCATAAATGCCTTCTATTTGTAAATTATGCTTTTTAAAATGGGATACTGTCTTTTCTGTGTTTCTTCAGGGCTAGCTGGAAAGATTATAAAAGCCATCATCAATGAAGGATTTCAGATCTCAGCTCTACAGATGGTGGGTTTCCTTTTGTGTATGTTTTTCTGATAACTGAAGTTGGAGAAGTGCTGTACGTGCTTCACAGCAATGCATAGGTGGCTTCCTGCAATATAAAAATTTTGTGCAGACTGTGTAGCAATGTCTTGGGATCAGCACTGTCCTTGTGATATTGGTGGTTTATTATTGAATTGATCATCTGCTGTGTTTCCTGTTGCTGGGTGACCTTGAGCCGAGACATGTTACCCCTCTGTATATCAGTTTCCCTATAGTTAGAAATGGGGTAATTATTTTTGTCTATTCAGAAGCAATTTGAGATATCTTTACAAATTTTTACAATGTTAATCTAAGATTAGAGAAAAGATTGTTAATATTCTTCCTTAATTTTTCTTAATATATATCTAGTGTGATTTTGGAGAAGGTTTTAAAAGATACTTAAAGGATTTTTGACACCCCAATCACACTCAACAGTTAAAGGAGGTTGGCACAGAGATTGTTCCCAAGAGTAGTCCTGTACTTTGATTTTTGTGAAAGTCCTGAGAGCTGAAATCCCCCTCTGACTTCAGTCCGCACCACAAATGAAGAATAGACCCTTTCCTTTATGATGCAACAAACAGATCCTCTTGCATGTCTTAGTGGTGTCAGCCAACACTATGTTGTCTACTTATATTTAAGGTGGAAGAAGATACTGTCTGCTATGTTGTCTGTGGTGTCATTGGCTAAGCTGTTAACAAACTTCATATTGTAGCTGTTAAACCATTCCTTTTGCATATTAAAACTTAAAAGTGTATTCTGAATGTTTGCTGGCTAAGAAGGGGTATGTCTCTATTTTTTGTTGTTGTCTAAGGCAGACTGGCTAACATTTTTGTTTTCTTAGTTCAACATGGAACGTGCAAATGTGGAAGAATTTTATGAAGTTTACAAAGGTGTCGTTGCTGAATACATGGTAAGCATAAAGTTGAGAAGAATCTGTTTAAAATATGATTAAATGAGGAAATGGTCTTTTTGGGGGGGGATTATGAGAGGATTTATTATATGAACCTGGCATTGACTGGTTCTAATTTGCTCGTAAATAAACTAACTCATTGTGAAAATTGTGCTATCTATGGTGTAAGAAAGGAGAATCTTCTGTGAAAATTCTTCAGCCAAGGAATTTGTAAAATATAATAGAATGAATTCCTTCCCCCCTCAAATAAGTTATTTTATTGTGGTAGAGCTATGAGAATGTGTCATGTCTCTATCTTTGTTTGACTTGATATTGCAGTTGTGGCTTGGACCAGAATATATATAAAAAAATTTTGTTTACAATGAGACTACTATATTTGAATGCTTTTCTAATGACATTTTTTAGCTGTTCTTAAGTTTATTGATCTTAATTCTGTAGATATTCAGAAAATGTAAGAAGTCTAAGATATGCTGTAATCCAAGTGGATGTCTAAGACTCTATATAGTATTATGCCTTGTTGTACTGTCACATAAAACTTCCTGACTGCAGGCAGAACAAAAGGAATACAAGAAGACAAGCTTACATTTCTATATCACCTTCAAATAGTAATGAGTTTAGCTCTACTGCTGTCATGTACTATGCAAATTATGCTTAATTTTTAAATACTTAAATTTTTAAAAGTTTTCTACACAGTTACTAATATTACTTCAATTACTAATATTACTCTGATCATGACATTTTTGTGGGTTTTTTTCCTCCCTTTATGATTATTTAGTCTAACTTCAACAGGGTCTGTAGAATTGTCTTTAAATTGTTAGTTCACTCTCAGATCGGGGAATACTCTTAAAGTCTCCTCTGATAACACTGGTTTTGACAAGGACCAAAGGAATATTGGACAGGCAGACTTGTGGGTGTGTGTCAGAATTCAAATGTGGTGATACCTGACCAGTATTTCAGGGTCTGAGGAATCCTGGTACTGCAAAAGTCTCTGCTTTGAACCAAATTGGAAATTCTCTATCATCTTCTGCAACTCTTGTACAGACTCTGACCCCCTAATAAGTTGCAAATTTTGTTATATAATTTAATTAGAGGGTTACTCAGAAGGGAAGGTGACATTTAAACGGAGTAAGTCAATAAAGAAGATACGTTGTAGATGGAATTTGAAGAAAAATGAGAATCTAGGGCTCTGTCCTGCAAGCCATATGTGCTGGATGCACTCAGTTGAAATGAAGTTAGTATCTCCGTGCGCTCAGGATATCTGTGAAACAGGAAAATGTGGGAAAGCTAATGATAATGGCAACAGAATCCAGAGAAGGCACATATGGGAACAGCAATAGATACTGTCAGTACAGGCCAAATAGGAAGAAATATGTTGTGAAATAGGATATTGAATAAAGAATATGACCTCTTATATCTGTGACTCAGAACCATCTGGTTTGATCTGAATTTTATTTATCATTTGAAAATAACTCAGCACAGAAGGTACTTGGCATCCAGAAATCCTTTTCAAAAACTGTACTCCCCTTACTTCTGGTGAAGTCAGTCAGATAAAGGCTTGGTATTTTATATAAAGCATTTCTCTGTGAAAAGAGAAAGCTCAACAACTGCCCAAAGTGTTAGCTTTGTTGGTATTTCCTGCATGGAATTTTGCATATTATTGGTTAGTTTTTGTGCTGTTTTGCGTTCTATTTCCCACTGGAGCCAGAATAGAAAATGGAGAAAAAAGGAGGGACGTTCTTTTGGGTCAGCTCAGAATCCACTTTGTTAATCAAAAATGCTCGAGCTTGATCCAGCTCCAGGAACAGTTTTGGTTGACCACAAACCATGTTATTTGGTGAATAAACAATTTGCTAAAGAAAACTTGATTTAGCTGTAACTGGGAATCTTACCAGAGAAACAGTGTCTGCTATTTAAATTCAGCTCCGGACTCAGTGAGACTGCATAAGGTAGTTCAAGCTTGCCTCACATAGTACCACTTGTCTCTGTGCCATAGTTGATGGCAGCTGCTCTTGACTCATCAGCTTTCTGTTGTAGGGAAGGAGTCAGGAGTAACTTGGCTCATGTTGTTTGCGGTTGCAGGTGGGATGTCAGTGCTGATGCAGAAACAGTAGAAAAGGGAGAAACAAGAAAAAAACCCACATTTTGCAGGGAAGAATTCAGTTGATTCAACTAAAGTTAGAAGTCTGTTTTTTCTCCTCTTTCCTGTTAATAGTTATTTAGATGACAGAATTCAATGAAGCTGTACAGAGTAGTGACTTTGTGGCAATTTACTGTTTCTTAATAGAATGAAATATATTGCCTTCTGGCCTGTTCTTAACAAAGGATCTGTTGGTGATAAGACTCTTCTGGGCATTAAAATATTTATTTCTGTTATAGAGCATGAAGCTAGTCTGCACTCCTTCCATGTTCTCTCAGGAACGCTTCTACCTACATTTCCTAGGATCACGTTAATGATAGAGGCATTGGCTAAAATGCTGTCCTGTTGACTTTAGAGTGGGGAGATTAAGCACATGCTTTCAGCATGGAATCCATTATGAAGATAGCAACTCTTTGGAACAGTGATGATCAACTTGGGGTCTTTGTCTATTTAGTTTCCATCACAATTCATAAATGGCAGAGAAGGACTTAATCCTTCTTTTCCTACTGTTTTTTTACCCACCCTGTATGCTCTTGTTCTTTGCTATTACTCATCCTTGACCTGCCTGTGGCTGGTGGGCGTGATTGCAGTACCTTGCTTATCCTTTCCCATCCTCCTTTATTTCCTGTGAATGTTTTCTCCTTTCCTCTTTCCTCATTGGTTTTGATTCTGTTAATTTTCCTGATTTGTTTAAAACTTGTCTGCCCAGATTTCTAGACAAGTGTGCAATTATAAGGGCACGATTTAAAAGAAGTCAGACTAGAACATCAAAATAGATTCTTTCTGCTTGTGAAACCAATACCTCTAATTAACAGACTCCAAATTGGCACTAATACACAAAGTTAATTTAAGGTTATGAAAACTAAGACCCATCTTCATCACCCACTCAGAACTCACTATGTCTTTTTACTCTTCGGGAGGTTCCAGGAAGACAGATGATTTTGGTGTAACTGAGATTCTGGTAACAGTGCACCTAAAGAATGTTGCCAGATTAAAAACCCTTTCCCTAACAGGTTGTGCCACAGGCTCAGCTTCTGTTGGCTTCTGTGTTTCAGCTTCTGTAGTAATGCATGAGGAAAAGACAGTGAAAACCAAATCCCAAGAGATATTTTAATGACTAAAAGCTATCAAAAGGATGCATATTTGGAAACAAATTTAGGCTGTGTACTGTGCTTCCTGTAGGGAACACTACAGAGTACATTGCTGCCTGTGGAACTAACTGAACACAGTGTGATTTTTCAGGCTTGTACCCAGCAAGGTGTATTCCACTGATTTAGTCTAGTTTGACAAGTTACGGATACTGCTGTGAAATCCAGGTCCAGATCAATAAGGATATACCAACAAAAGAATCTGAAATATTGTGGATGCTATTCAGTATCTTGTTGAAGGTGAATATCCAATTTATCTCAATTTCCACCTTCTAAAATAAGTAGCAAAATGAAAAACATTTCTTTTGTTGTATTTATTGTATTCTGTATTCATGATGTATTTGTATAATGTCTTTGCTTTCCTAAAGGCACCAATATTTCTTAATTGTTCCCATCCTGTAAGTATGGGTCTAATTTTGGGGAGGAATACAACCCTTGCTAATGCCCAAGGAAGCTCAGATTTGTTTCTGTCTTTTTTCTCTTTCAGGAGATGGTTACAGAATTGTGTTCAGGCCCTTGCATAGCAATGGAGATTATACAACCTGAGCCTCCAAAAGTCTTCAGAGACTTCTGTGGTCCTTCTGACCCTGTAAGTACTTGCTTGAGTGGTAAGGAGTGCTTAAAAAGTTGATGTGCTGTCTATGTGAATTAAAATATCAAGGTGTGGTATGATTGCCACATACCTGCTGCATTCATTGGAAACATGTGAGCATTACCTTATTATGGAGGTCAAATGCTAGTCTTAGTGGACCAATTTCCTCTAGCAACTTTTCTGATGTTACTAAAAGAGATGATCAAGTACTGTGATGGTATTTATGTGAAAGGAAGGCTATCTAGGCAAAAATCTCTGTTAAAGATCCGTAAATATTCTAGCACAAGGCTTGAGAGCCCTGGAACAAATAGTTATTGTTTGTGCATGCAAGTGTAAGTCAAATGTTAGTCCATCACAGCCTGTGGCTTTCATCTTCTAGGATGAAACTGTAAAAAGAGAATTGGTTCTTCAGAAGAAGAATTGTTTTTCAGAAGGAAGCGAACAAAAAAGAGTGTAAAAATTCTTGTACCTGTTTGCTATGCTAATGCTTCTAGCTTTTATTTTTCATTTCATGAGGTGACTAATTGGATGTGTGTGACACCGTGCGTGATTTGGAGACAAGCAATAAATGCTGTCTCAAAAAATTTGCAGTTTTTTGTTAAACAGAGAAGGATATTACACTACACAGTATCCATGAGGTGAAATACCAAGATGGAGACAAAGAGGTCAGGGTTTGTATGTTTTCTTGGTTATGACTTGAAGTTTTAGTTGCAGACTGAGTGGGTTTACCAGTTTCCATGGACAGAATTCACACAGATTAATATTTGAGGAGAGAACAAGTTGTTCAGGATACATTTTTCTTCACATCCAGAGTTTCCATTACAGAAAGCACAAGCTAAAGGCATTATCCAAACCTTTTTTCTGCCTTCTGTTTGGTAACATTCAAATGTTTCTCTGCTGGGTTAGCATCTTGTAAGCAGACCATAACCTGTTTATCTGACTTAGTTTTAACTGCAGGATATTAGTAGTAATGTACACAGTGTGGTGGTTTCAGTTTTGTTCCAAATTCCATGTTTAAGGTTTCTGACCTTTAAGGCTTTCAAAGGTGCAGGTTGGTGGGTTTTTTTTCAGGTGTATTATATCCTTTTCATGTTTCTGCTTGTTTGATGCCTGAGAGATTAAAATCAAAATATGCTTGTAAAAATCACAAGTGCTTTAGATTATGAAAGACAAGTGTACCTATGCAAGGGGAATTTCCCTATTTTACCTTACTACGTCACATGAAAAGCTCTGTCATAGCCATACAACATGTGTGACTGAAGAACTGTTGATGAGCTGAAGAACTGAGGGATGTATAAAATGATGGATTCTTTGGGTAGCCCAAGAAAGGAGCAAAGGAGGGGACTAAATTTCTGCCTCCCAGAGCTCTTGCTAGTGACCTTCCTATGCTTTTTCTGTTTCCGTTTTAAATGTTAACTGTGATTTGTGAAGTGAAAGTAAGTACCTGTCTGCTTCTAGGGGAAGCAGGAGGCTCTAAGTTCTGGACACTGACTTTATAGCAGCTACACAAATGGTATGCTTGGAAGACAGGCAGCTGTGTTATGTGTCTGCTGTTTTCTATAAGAATTGTAAATTAATTGATTCTTCAGGCACATAGAGCATATGTGGCAACTGCTCTTAAGGGTGATCTTTGACTGAAATTTATCTGACTGTTTAGATAGTGGTTGTTAACTTGTCCTTGAGGACAGGAAGGGACTAGGGTATCTCAGTGGTCTTTTGTCATTCCCAACCAGGATCATCAGGGAAACTCACAACTGGACTTTGTGGTTACAATATCTGTCTCAAATAGGAGTAGCAGAAACGATAGCAGCGGTTTTGTTGTCTAGCAAGGCTATATGCAGACCATGAAGGTATGATGGACTTAAGATTCTGGTGGTTTAATTAAATCTAAATGTTGTGCAGATAGTGCGTTATCACTGAGAGATCTGGATTTCGTTTATATGTGCTAGATATTGATGTGTGTGCAACCTGTTTATGAACATAGGCGAAGACCAAGTTCCCTACAGAATATACCTACTTGGGTCACTTTGGCTGCTATTAAAGAGCACTCTATTTGGCAAGTAGTGCCATTGAAATCACTGTGATTGCTCTCAAAGCAAGGTGCTGTTTGAAGTGAGCAAAGGTGTTGGAATTTGACTTACATAATGAATCTCTCCCAGTCATGTGTGCTGTTAATTATATCTTAGATACATAGCAGATGGAATAATTACTTTGTGGCAAGTCAGGTATCTAAACTGGATATGAATGTTAACAGCCCTTTCAGTCTGTTCTTGGTTTTACAGGGATTCAGTTGGGGTACACTTCAGTAAAAGGCATCCAGAAAGAGGCGATTCAGATTTTCCCAAATCAGAGCAAGTTGTCATTTGGAAATAGGTTTGGCTTTGTTCAAGTCCCGGATGTTTAAGGATGAAGAAAGAATTAGAGTTGTTCCGTTTTGAGGATTATACTTTAATAACCTAGCAATTTATACTAAGTGGACAATGCTGAAAATGAAATGGAACTTTGTGCTAACTGGGTAATAATTTGTTAGCACTGCAGGTCAGTAAAGCTCTCTGCCAAAAATATCTGTCATTATAAACCAGCTTATAAATACTTCATTAAAACTTCTTATGTGGTTGTAGG